TTCAGAAGTAATGGGCAGGTAAGTGGTACAGCTGATAGAGTGCTGGGCCTGGAAGACTCATCTTTCTGAGTTCAAATCTGGCCTCAGACATTTACTAGCTGTGCGACCCTGGGCAAGTTACTTAACCCTGTTTGCCTTAGTTTCCTCATTTGTAAAATGAACTGCAGAAGGAAATGGCAAACTGCTCCAGGATCTTTACCAAGAAAATCCCAAATGGGGTCCCAAAGAGTCAGATACAACTGAAAAATGACTAAATAACAACCCAGAAGTGATACTCTTTTTGCTGTGCTACAATACCTCCATCCAGACCCCTGTGGTAGTCTGAACCTATAATCCAAACTGAAAAAAGTAAGAGTTGAAGAGCAGATTTTCTGATGTCCAGTCTTTTGATAAAGCTCACGCTGAGTTTTGTTTCATTTATTTTGCTCCCTAGATCAGAGCATATACACAAGGGAGAATCAGAGACAGAGAGAAGGAAAGGGAGGGGTAGGGGGCAAGTGAGGGGGAGAAAAGGGGAGAGAGGAGGGATAGAGAGAAAAGATAGAGGAAGAAAGAGAGAGGGAGAGGAAGAGAGGAAGAGAGAAAGTGAGGAAGAGGGAGAAAGAGGGAGAAGGGTAGGGGAGGAAAACAGGGAGAGAGAAAAAGAAAAGGAGAGAGGGAAGTTTGAGAAAGAGAGAGAAAGAGAAAAGGGGGAGAGGGAGAGAGAGACAGAGACAGAGAGACAGAGACAGAGAATATGTTTATGTAGGGATAGAGATTGGACCTGAGATTTCACTGGTATAGAGTATTCTCCAGTGAGGAAACTCCTATCTAAGCTGGTGGTCACCTTTGTCTCAGAGTTTTGTCTAGAGCACTGAAAGGTTGAGTGAAAACTTGCTCAGTCACACAGCCAGCGCGTACCGAAGCAGAACCGGACCCCATGCTCTCCCCACTCTGCCGTGCTGCCTTGGTCATGATGTGCTTGCAAAGACATTCTTGAAACTTGAAATCTTTTGGGCTGGGAGGGACCTGTATCATTGTCTCACCTAACTCTCCCCCTAGTCTTGTGACTCTAACCCCAGTCTTCCAACCCTCCCAGCTCTCAGACTAACTGCTCTAGAGAGACATCACGATGGAGAGATGAACTTGGAATTAGGATGAGTTGGGTTTAAATCCCACTGCTATCATCAGATATCTGTATGATCATGGGCAAGTTATTTAACTTCCCTGAGACTCAGTCTCCTTATCTGTAAAATGGGGTAATACTTCCCGTAGCAGTTACTTCACAGGTTGTCATGAGTTTCAAATGGTCTGGCACATAAAGGAAGGACTATAACAGGGAAAGGGCATGGGAGAGAACTCCTCTATCCCCAGCTGGGGAATGAGAAGCAAGGATTTTATTTTAGGCCAAACCCTAGATTGTTTGGGTGATAAGAAGACTAATGTGTAGATGTCAACATCTTATTCTGTTTTTATTTTTGTCCGGACTTCAGAAAGAATATATCAGGGGAGTAACAAAAAATGGGCTCAATCTCTCTAGAACCCCTAAACCTAAGTGGTTCAGTCCTCATTTAGCCATATGAAGAGTTTCAGTCTAGGTTATGCATGTTGCTTTGACACCAAGTGAAGAATAATCTCCTGGGCTGAAAAAAAAAAAGTCTAAAAACTTGTATCTGCTAATGTTCCACACTCTAGTGAGCAAGAAGGAAGGGAGGAAACAAGTGGCAGTTAAGCACCTACCATGTGCTAGGCTTTACAGATATTATCTCATTTGATCCTCACAACAATCCTGGGAGGCAGGTGCCATTTTTATCCCCATTTTACAGTTGAGGAAACTGTGGCAGACAGAGGTCAAGTGCCTTACCCTGGGTTATATAGCTAGTAAGTATCTGAGGCTGGATTTGAACTCATGTCTTCCTGACTCCATGTCTGGCCCTATACTGTCCCATCTAGGGGTGGGGCAAAAATGGTGACAGCTTAGGGTGTTAGATTTTCTATCAGAGAACCTAGGTTTGAATCCTGCCTCTACCACTTATTTTACTTCATTGATTTTGGACAAACTACTTCTTGCCTCTGAACCTCCATTTCCTTCTCTATTAAATGAAGGAGTTGGGCTAACATATCAGGGCTTCTTTACCTTGGACCCGAAGGGGTGTGAGGAGAGATTTCAGTAGGTCCATTAAGTTGAATATAAAAACAATTACATCATTATTTGCATTAACCTCTAATAGGGATTTTTTTTATCTTTTCAATGTCATAGAACCCCTTTGGTAGTCTGATGAAGACCCTGGAACCCTTCTCAGTATAATGTTGTTAAAAGGATAAAATAAAAGATTATAAAGAAAGACAAAAGTTGGTGAAAATAAAGATGTAATTTTCCCATCCATATTCATGGATCCTCCTGAATTCTATTTGTGAACCCCAGGTTAGGAATCCCTGCTCTAACTAAAATTTAGCATTTCCTTCATATTATTTAGATAATATTATTTAGACAAGGGGTCCATAGATTTCATCAAACTGCCCGAGGGATCCACGACACATGCACAAAAAAGTTTTAGTGGCCCTGGACTAGCTGATTTTTAAAGTCTCTTCTAGCTAGCTCTTAATTCCATGAATATTACCTTTACATCTAATAGCACAGAGTATTTAAATAGTCAGTCTCCTTATTTTTTACATGTGGGCCCAACCACTTGGCTTTCGATCCCTCCTCATTCTCTCACCTTTCTTCCAACTGATCCGATAACTGACCTCTGGCCTTGACGTAGTGGGAGGTGTGCGCCTCATGTCATTTCAATAACTGAAGCAATTTTACCTTTTTCCAGCTTAGTTTGACCATACAGACAAATATTTGTAAACCCAAATGCTTAATTATTCCTGAAGCATCCACCTTGTAAGTAAAAATGAATCACCCAGATAACCAATTAATATCATATCTTCACAGATGCTGATGCTTATTTCCAGCAGAGACCAGGTTGCTGCTGAATAAGGAGAAATGAGGATGGGGAGACTAGGTAACTTTCCAAGGACTCTTAAGTCATGTTTCCCAGAGCACACTTCAATTTGTTTTATTTGTAAGTGGTGTCAATGTACAAAATCTCAAACATACATATACACATGTAAATATGGATATATTCATACACATATTAATGCATGTATTGTTTGCATGGGAAAGAGAGAGAAAGGCAACATGAAACAGTGGATAGAGAGTTGTCAGGACACATGGGTTCAAATGCAATCTCTGATACATATTAGTTTTGTGACCCTGGGCAAATCACTCAAATTCTTAGTGACCCAAACAACTTTCTAAAACTATGTTTGAAAGAAGGTGTCAATCTGTATTGGGAGAAGAAATTTTTCACTGAGAGCTCCCTATGCCAATGAAACAAAATTACTGATCATGTGTGTGTGATTATATTGTTCATTTTCAGTCTTGTCCAACTCTTCATGACCCCATTTGGGGTTTTCTTGGCAGTGAGAGCGGTTTGCCACTTTCTTCTCCAACTCATTTTGCAGATGACTGAGACAAAAAGGATTAAGTGATTTGCCTAGAGTCACATAGCCAGTAAGTGGCTGAGGCTGGATTTGAACTCAGGAAGATGAGATTTCCTGACTCCAGACCTGGCACTCTATCCACTGCATGACCTAGCTGCCTGTGATTTGATACATCTATATTTGTGTGTGTCTATATTTCATACATATTCTATGGATACACATTCACACATGTATATATATATGTGTGTGCGTGTGCGTGTGTGTGCATATATATACATATATATATATGCACACACACCCCCCAGACTGTGTGTATAAGACTATGCATAATAATATATATTATATACAAACATGAATGTATGTATATGTAACAATAAATACAGCCATATATGACATATATACATGTTCCGAAAGTCTTAGTGTATTTTTAAGCTATTAAAGTTTAAAATGTGTGTTAGATATTATTATAGAGAAAAGGATCTCCCTTTATGCTGTTAAAACTTAACTATGCACTAAATCTTTTGGGACATCCTTTTTAAGGAAATATTTGCATTACATATGGAAAGAAAGAAAGAAAGAAAGAAAGAAAGAAAGAAAGAAAGAAAGAAAGAAAGAAAGAAAGAAAGAAAGAAAGAAAGAAAGAAAGAAAGAAAGAATATACAAATATACACACACAGATCAAAAAAAAAAAGGAAAAGAAATAGTTACATTCTATTTTATTGTTTGGGTCACTGAAAAGTTACAAGACTTGCTCAAACTCACACAGCTAATATGTTCAACAGTCCTTGAACCCAGGACTCAAACTCAGTGCAGTGTATACACCTTGACATCAGGGAAGGCTCTGATTTGATTTTAGTATTCCCAGGGCTTAACATAGTGACTTGCATGTAGTAGGAATTTAATAAATGTTTGTTGAATTGAAATGTAAAATGGTCATTATAATACCACCACAGGACTGTCATAAGAAAATCCCATAAACCTTAAAGGGCTATAGAAATGTGAGTAGTTAGACATATCTTCCTGACTCCATTGCCTTGGTCAGTCTCTCATATCCAAAGTTAAATCACCCAAAAGCATTCTGTAAATTAATGTAAATTTTTTCTTCCTGGATTACCCAGTATTTTAGACTGTCCACACCACTCATCCTACCACCACCACCATTTGTATAGATAATTGATAAGTAGGCATATGGAATAATTCACATTTCTACAACACTTTACAAGCACCTTCCCCATAACGACCCTGTAGGGTAAGTAATGTAAGCCATATGCCCATGATACAAACGAAGAGACTGAGGCTCTGAAAAATTTTATCTTACAGTCTGGATTCAACCCAGGCCTCCTTGATGTCAAATCCAGCAGATTTCCCACTACCTCATATTGCCTCCCTTTGCTTGGCCACACTCTTGGCTGGCAAGGCAGAGTTCTGTCATTTAACCACCCCCGCCTCCTTTCAGCTTTCCAACTACCCCCAGAAGTCCCCATTCCCACCCAACCCCATCCGTCACATACACAAATTCATTCACTTACCTGGTCCATGGGTAAAAATGGGCAGGTGGCCTGCTGGAGCGATTGGCCGCAGCTGCTTCTCTCACTGCCGTCCGAGCTTTCTGACAGCTCGGGTCAGCCGGCTGCCCAGGGGAGTTGTCAGTCAGGCTCTGTTCGATGGCCATTTGGATGAGCTCGTCCTCACTCATACTGCTATACAGACTGTACTCTTCGTGTCCAATAGCTCTCTGGGCACTCGGTGTAGTGATCTCCGTGGCCATCCTCTGTTATCATGAGACAAGGAGAAAGAGTTCAATGAGACGGCAAAGGAAATGAAACTCTGAAGAACTTTGTGGAAAATAAAAGCATCCTGATCGCTAAGGTGGCTTCTGGGGGGCCCTTGTGAGAATTAGCAATATTTTAACTACAGGAAAAAATATCTTTTCAACCAAAAATTTTTTTTAAAGTACTGGGCCCATTCTATTTACAAGGCCCTACACTAGGTTCTAAAGAGGATATAGGAATATGTAAGAAACAGTACATGACCTCAAGATTTTCACGGTATAGGAGGATGAACAATACATAGATAACCACAGAGTTGTGTTTTAAAGTAGAAAATGAAGAAAAGTGATTACTAGAGGCAGCTAAATGATGGAGAGGACAGAGAGCACTGGGCCCAGAGTCAGAAGATGTGAGTTCAAATCCAATACTTGTCACTGTCTATGTGATCTTGGACAAATCATCTAACTTCTTTTTGTCTCCATTTCCTCATCTATAAAATGGGGATGATAACAATATTAACTACTTCCCAGGGTGGTTGTTAAGAATCACATGAGATAATATTTGTAAAGTGTCTGGCACATGGTATGTGTGTGTATAAATATATATGCTAATTATTATTATTACTGAATTCAAATCTGAATCTAACACTTATCATCTGTGTGTCACTTTACCCTTCTTGGGCTTGTTTCTTCGTCTGTAAAATGGGGATAATAATAATACTTGGGCTACCCTACCTTAGAGGATTGTTATGAGTAAGTCATTTGTAAATCTTAAAGGACTACAAAAAATGTGAGATATTATTATTGAGACAAAGTGCCTCCCGTTAAGGACACTGCAGTCTAGAGGCAAGCATGAGACATGAACACAGATAGCTACAGACAGGCAGCTTGATATAATAATACATAAGACCTTGAGTGGTAAGATCTCAACCTTTTAGAGCTAAAAGGGATCAGGTCTCCCCCAACCTTTAATTTAAAAAAAACTGCCACTTGACTTTGCCATCCCCTTGAGCTATCAACCTGTACTTTTCCTCCCTTTCACAGTCAAATTCCCAGAAAAGACATCTACTCTTACTATCTCCATCTTCTCACCTCCTACTCACTTCTCAACCCCTTGCAATCTGATTTACGGTCCTACCACTTGGCTGAAACTTCTCTTTCCAAGGTTATCAACCAACTCTTACCTGCAAAAGCCAGTGGCTTTTTCTCAGGCTTCATTCTTCTTGATTTTTCTTTAGGTCTTGGCCACCTACTCCTCTGGGATACTCTCTTCCCTTGGTTCCCATGATACTACTGTCTCCTGGTTCTCCTATCTGATCACCTCCTTCCTAGATTCCTTTACTGAATCATCCTCCATCTCCCACCCCCCAACTCCCATGTAGGGCTCTGTCCTGGACCTTCTTCCCTTGGTATATTTTCTCTCTTAATGATCTCATCAGCCCCTGTGGGTTCAGTTGATATATCTATACAAATAATTGCCAGATCTATATATTTAGCCCAGATCTCTCTTCTAAGCGCCAGTACAACATTACCAACTGCCTGCTAAATATTACCTGTACAAGGAAATATGGTGGCCAAGTGGACTTTCAGGCCAGCAAGACCTAGATTCAAATCTGAGCCAATCACTTAACTGGGGCCTTGGTTTCCTGATATGTAAAATGAAAGAGTTGGAATCCATGTCCTCTAAAGTCCCTTCTATCCCTAAATGTATGATCCTGTGACCTCAAGTTCAATAAATCCAAAACAGAATCCATTATCCCCACCCCTACTGTGCTCCCCACCAAAGGAATTAGGGCTAGTGTTAAGAGTAAAATTTGTTCCTCCTCCAAAATTTTCTCTTGGTTAAGTCAATCATCATCCTTTCAGTCACTCAAACATGTAACTTCAAAGTCATTCCTGATTCTTCACTCGCTCTGATTCCCTACTGCTTTGTCTTGGAAGTTCCATTTCCACATTTACATCTTACCAGGCAGCTGGTAGTGCAGTGGATAGAATCCTGGGCCTGGAGTCAGGAACAGCTGAGTTTAAAGCCAACCTCAGACAATGACTAGCTGTGTGACCCTGGGCAAAGCACTTAACTACTCTGTGCCTCAGTTTTCTTAACTATAAAACTTAAAAACAGTACTTACCTCACAGGGTGGTTGTAAGAATCAAATAAGATAATAATTGTAAAGCACTTAGCACAATACCTGCAATACAGGAAGTACTAGGGAACAGCTAGGTGGTGCAGTGGATAGAGCACCAGCCCTGGATTCAGGAGGACCTGAGTTCAAATCCAGCCTCAGACACATAACACTTACTAGCTGTGTGACCCTAGGCAAGTCACTTAACCCCATTGCCCAAACCCCCCCAAAAAATACAGGAAGTACTATATAAATGCTTATTCCCTTCCCTATTTCCACCTACCTTCTACCACCTCTACCACCCCAAACCTGGGCTATTGCAATGGCCTCCTGAATGTTCTCCCTGCTGCCATTCTCTCTCTCTCTCTCTAATCTATCCTCCACATTGGTCCCCAGAGAATTAGATGTAATATGTCACTCCCTTGTTCAAGAAACTTCCATGACTCCCTATTTCATCTGAAAAAAATACAGTCATTTTAAGCCTTTGACAGTATAGCTCCAGCTTCCCTTTACAGACATTCACATGAATCTGCTTCATGCATTCTAAGTTCCAGACAAAGAGGCTCTTTGTTATCCCCTGAACTTTGTATTTAATCTGTCACTTTCATACTGCCCCCATGCCTACAGTACATTTCCCCTTCATTTCAACCTGTTAGAATCCATAACTTTCTTCACGGTTCCATTCAGGTGTCACTACCTACAGGAAGCCTTCCCTGATTTCTCTCCTTCCCCAGGTGTTAGTGTCCTCCCTTTTCTCAAATTATCTTGCACTTACTTATACTGTAATTGTAAATGTTGTACCTCCTAGTAGAATGTAAGTTTCTTAAGAGAAGGGACTCCACAAGGTGTCAGTTTTAAGCCCTTACAACAGCACTAATTTATAGGATACCCTGTATTACATTTTATTTTTGGGGGGAGGGTGGCTATATCACCGGTACCCAACACAGTCTTTCACCTAGGTATTTGATAAATGCTTGCTGAATGGAATTAGCTCATCTAGTCCACACTTTACACATTATAGAGAAGTTAAATGACTTGCTCAAGATCACAAAGGTGGTAATTATAAGGAATCCTGTGCTCAAATCTAGTTCTAATACATGAGATGCCTGAACAAGTTTGTCAAATCTTCTGCTTTCTCATCTGTAAAATGTAGATAGTAGTAATTGTACCAGCACTTTGAAAATATTAAGGTACTATTAAAAAGTACAATAGTATTGTACAATACAGCACACTAGCACAAGGTTATGTGTCCCAAAGGCTTCAAACTACTCCAAGGCTTTTAGGACACCCTATTTAGTGCAATCGATGAATGGACATATACTTATTGTTGTTTATTCTTTTTTTCTATCACATCCGATTCTTTGTGACCCCATTTGGAGTTTTATTGGGCAAAGATACTGGTGTGGTTTGCCATTTCCTTCTCCAGCTCATTTTACAGATGAGGAAATTGAGGCAAACAGAATTAAGTGACTTGCCCAGGGTCACACAGGTAGTATGTGTCTGAACCTTTAGTAAGTGCCTATTATATGTTAGGCACTGTACATTGAGGCTATAAAATTTTTTAAAATGAACCAATTTCTGCCCTGAAAGAGCTTTTTTCTGTGGTATGTATAAAATACAAACAATATAATTAAATCCAAGGTATTCAAAGAGGGAAGATACTGGAAATAGGGAGGATCAGCAAAGGCCTAAAACGTAGAAGTGAAAAGGGAAATACCTTCCGGTTCTGCAGAATGGACAAAGAAAAGGTATGAAGATAGGAGATGGAATATGTGTGAAAACCAGAGAGAAAGTAAATTTGGCCAGACTCGAGAGTACAACAAAGAGAGAAGAGTACCTTAAGAGAAGTATAAACAAAATTCAAAGGAGGGAGAGATTGTTTCTGTCCAGGGGCAACAGGGGAAGCTTCATGGAAGATTAAAAAGGCAGAATTAGGGTTCTAATTTGATATAGAGAGTATAGAGCATAGAGCAAAGGCACAGGAGGAAAGTAGAGTCTAAGTCTCCCAATTTAACTGGAGCACCGGATACAAGAATGAGAATAGTGAAAGATAAAATAGTGAAAGGAAGTTAGGCTTTATTTCAGATCCATCTATTCATTATTTAACATATGCTTATTGAGCACCTACTATGTGCAAGAAACTTCAATAGATACTGGGTAGATGGGGAAGGGAGAGGGGAGAAGAGGGTGTGGAATGAATACAAAGATGCAGAAGTGGTTCTCCCCACAAAGAACATCAAGGCTAGGAGAGAGAGAGAGAGAGAGAGAGAGAGAGAGAGAGAGAGAGAGAGAGAGAGAGAGAGAGAGAGAGAGATAAAACATTCATGTCCTATCTCAAATAAATACCAGTTAATATGGGAATATGGGATAAGATGGCGCAGTGGATAGAGTGATGATGGACCTAGGGTCAGTAAGATGAGTCTTCTTGAGTTCAAATCTGACCTTAGACACTACTATCTGGGTGACCCAACCCTGTTTACCTCAGTTTCCTCATGTGTAAAATGAGCCGAAGAAGGCAATGGCAAACCACTCCAATGTCTTCGCCAAGCAAACCCCAAATAGGGTCATGAAGAGTCAGACGTGACTCAGTCACAAGAGCACCACCACAGCTAATCTATAGCAGAGCTAAAATTGACATTCAGTCTCTCTGACACCAAATCCAGCAGTATTTCAACTACACCACACTGGAGGAGTTTAGATTTTGATGGATGAAGGGAGGATGGGAGGCAACATTCTGAAGGAGTGGAAGGCTTTGTGAACATCAATTTCCCTCTTGCCTCAATTAAGGTTCAGGAGGAGGTGAAGTACTTGCTTTTATTCAATTCAAGAATGGGACAAACGAAGTACTTACCTTTATTCAATTCAAGAATGGGGGAAGAA